AGCAGTTTTTTATTCACTCGCATTATTTGAGTTTGATGGAGTTTAATAAAGGCGCATTAAAGGGTTTTACACACGATTTGCTTAATATGTTATTTTTTATTGAATACAAATTTGTTAATATTCCTCTTAAGTGGCGTGAATTCTCACACATGTGTAAGTAGCTTAATTTTTTTAAGCCGTTATTGTATTATTTTAATATGTGCAATAACTGCAAGATTCATGACAATATGAGGGAGATAGACAGAGAGAGAGAGAGATAGAGAGAGCACGAAATGGCTAGACTGTAAATAAAAATGCATTGCATACTTGAGGGTGACGCCGGAAACAAATTGCAGTGAAAAACTGCGCGAAAAAAATGAAGGAAGCAAGCCAAAGTGGGGGGTAAAAAAAAAGGAAGACAAACTTGAAACAATTAAAAGTGCGAGGCGACGGAATGAAGCGGAGAAACTTAGTCAAGTGGCAGGGCGTGCAGAGGGGAAAGAAACCAGCTAGCCAAAAACACAAAAAGCAGAGGGAGTAGACTAAATGAGAGCGGGTGGAAGGGAGGTACGGAGTGTCAGGGCCAGTTGCTGTCGCTGGTAACTGTAACTGCAAGTGACTCGCTTCTGCAGAGTTTCATTCTACTTATTTTTATTTTGCTACGCTCCCAGGAGCCAAACAAAGCAGCAGACGGAACTGTGTAGGCGTGGCAGCGAACAAGGCAACATGGCTAACACTTTACGCTGCAATTTGCACTTCATTGCCAGTGCAGGGGCTGATAGGGGGAGGAGGGAGAGGGGAGACTGAAGTCTGCTCAAAGCACTTTATAAATTTTTTAAGTGCCATGCAAAAAACTTTTGCCCCGACGCCTAGCACAAAGCATGAGCGACAGAGAGAACGAGTGGGAGCCAGAGAGAGAGAGAGAGAGAGAGAGAGAGAGTGATACACAGAGGGCTGCTAAATTGTCGCAAGGGGCTTTCGGTCTTAATGTTCTGAGGGACCACAAAGCAAAGTAACATAAACGCAGGCCGGCGTAAGTCTGAAAGTGCATAAGTGAAGAGCTAGTTGTATAACTAATTTTAATTAATTTCAATTAAAAGAAAATGTAATTTTATAAAAACTCGTATTGTTTTAGTTACGGAAACAGACAATCACAGCGACATCTGGTGGTCAGAATTGTAAGCAATGTAATTGCATTTTGCAAACGCTTTTCATTAGTTTACAGTTTGTTTAAAATATCTCTGTGTGTATGTGTGTGTGTGTGTCTGGGAAACCGCATAATTTAATTTAACAAACAAAAACCGCAACATGTCCAACTTACAGCAACCAAAACTAAAAGTAAAATGCTAGCGCGTTAAAAAACGCTTGCAAACCACAGGAAAACATGTCACAAACGCGCCAGCAAAAACATAAACAAACAAAATAAAAACACCAAAAAAAGCAACACAAACAAAATCAACAAACAACGAAATGAATTTTTAAATTCGACGGCAAACAGTGCAGTCAAAAAAAAAAAAAAAAAAAAAAAAACACACACACAATCTGACAGGCATTGCGAGCAATAGAGACAGCTATGCTTGCCTGTGAGAGATAGAGAGGGATATATTTGGCAAATATGCCATGAATTTATGCATTTGTTGTTTTTGCGTAGCGCATTTATGGCCAAATCGCATCTACCAAATTGATATTCTAAGCGCGTAAAAATTTATATATGCCGAATATGCATAAAAACGCCAAAGAAAAAATGTTTTGCTCTCCTTTTATTTTTTATTCTGGCATTAAAAATAAATGTTGCATACTTTGCGGGCGCAACATAGAATATGCGATTTTTCGAACGGAGTGTTTTTATGGCCCAAAATGCGAGGGCGTGCAAGCGACACGCCTCTTTGCCTGATTGCTGCGGATATTACCTATATAAATGCACATAAATGTATTTCTTTATCCTCAACATGTGTTTTCATTGCTCGCAATGGCGTCAAGAATGGCAGCCTGGTGACTTCATTTAACATGCCGCGAGCCTTTAGGCAAATATAACGGGATTGTGTTGTTAAAGTACAGCAAACAAAGAAGCATCTAACATTGAAGTTTTACAGCTGTTATAGGTAGTGTCGCATATATTACACGTGTTTTCATAGTGTTTCTTTACCAGAATATTATACATATTATTTTACGGCGAAATTTGTTTCTAATATAATGGCATCAACTTACTACTACTATTAAACGACTACTACTATTAACTACTATTACTATTAAAGAA